AGTGGACTATATAGGGTATGATAACCATCACTATACATTCGGACAGCACTACAAAATGGCGAGCTCACTATATAGTCCACTATATAGTGAGTAGTGGGAGATTTCGGACACAGCCATAATCTTTTCTGTGTTGTCATGTTTGATTCAGGAGATATGATACAAAATACATAATTTGGTTATGGCAGAAAGTAAAATGGCCGCCACAAGGCGTTTTAACGATGGCTCCATTTCTGAAAATGTTCAGGGCCCCAAACTGTACAACAGTACCAAGTTTCATGCTTTTATAAAAAAGTGAACATATGACCTCAAATTTTGACCATATCACCTGGACTATACCAAAAATTTCAAATGATATTTGCATTCAAATATTTGTTCATGCAATCAAAATCTCTCCAGATGAGACAGCGTTATGACATACTGGGTTGCTGAACTGTATCCAGACAACATTGCAGTGCTCATGCCAGCTGGAATTGTTACTAGTTAACGGTTGTAACAGCTTTCCTGCTCTGTGTGAAAAGGTGCAGACCTGACCTCCTCAGTGCTAACTGCCTGTGCCTGTGAGTGCTGAGATTGTAATTGGTCTTGAGCAGAAGTTTAATCAGCCAGCAGGGTGGGAAATGCTGATCCTGCCAAGACTCTGAGACTTGTTAAACTCTAAACAGCCAGCAGCCATATCAGCCTGTAGCCCAAGACTGGTTGCCCACTGAAGCTAAACAGGGCTGAGCCTGGTCAGTACCTGGATGGGAGACCTCCTGAGAAAACCAGGTTGCTGCTGGAAGAGGTGTTAGTGAGGCCAATAGGGGGCGCTCACCCTGTGTTTTGTGTGGGTCCTAACACCCAGTATAGTGACGGGGACACTACACTGTCAAAAAGCACCGTCCTTCGGATGGGACGTTAAACCGTGGTCCTGACCCTCTGTGGTCATTAAAAATCCTATCAGTTCACCCCCAAATTTGCCCCTTGGCCTCTGTCCATCATGGCCTCCTAATCATCCCCATATACTGATTGGCTTCATCACTGTCTCCTTTCCACCAATAAGCTGGTGTGTGGTGTGCGTTCTGGCGCAATATGTCTGCCGTCGCATCATCCAGGTGGATGCTGCACATTGGTGGTGGTTGAGGAGATTCCCCCTACCATGTAAAGCGCTTTGAGTACCCAGAAAAGTGCTATATAAATGTAACATTATTAATTATTATAAACCAAACTCTCTAGTTGAATCCTAGCATTAAGATAAGTTTTTCTCCAAAACACATTGGCCACAATTATTGGCACCCCTCAAATTTTTTATGAGTAAAATATCTCTGAAGTATATTCCCATTAATATTTACATTTTTTAGCACACTAAGGTGACTAGGAGCATGAAATTGTCTAGCTATTACTTATTGTTTCACAGTATAAATATGAGGAAACACAAAGGCCAAATTCCATTAATCATCCATCACAATGAGTAAAACCAAATAATATATTTCTGATGTGCAACAAAAGATTGTTGAGCTTCACAAAATATAAAGTGGCTGTAAGAAAAGCATTGCAAATTCCCATTTCCACCATCAGGGCAAATATTTAAGAAGTTCCAAACAACTAAAGATGTTATGAATCTGCCTGGAAAAGGACGTGTGTCTATATATCGTCCTAATGCACGGCGAGGAGGAAAGTTTGAGTGGCCAAAGACTCTCCAAGGATCACAGATGAAGAATTGCAGAGATTAGTTGAGTATTAGGGTCAGAAAGCCTCAATAAAACTCAAACAACCCCTACATCACCACATGTTGTTTGGGAGGGTTGGGTTTCAAGAAAAATCTTCCTTGCTCATCCAAAATCAAACTCCAGCATATTCATTTGTCAGACATGACTGGAACTTCAAAAGGGACCGGATTCTATGGTCAGATGAAACTAAAAAAAAAATGTTTTTTTTGGCTGCAAACCCACCAGATGGGTTTGGTGCAAAGGGGATAAAACGTACTCCATGTCCACGGTTAAATATACCGCTGGATCTTTAATGTTGTGGGCCTATTTTCTTGCCGAAGGTCCTGGACATCTTGTTCAGATACATGGCATAATGGATTCTAGCAAATACCAACAGATAAAAAAAAATCAAAACCTCACTGCCTCTGCTAGAAATCTTATAATGTGCCATGTTGGATCTTCCATCAGGACACAAAACAAACATCAAAATCAACACAAAATGTGTCACTGAGCACAAAATGAAGCTTCTGCCATGGCCGTCCCAGTTCCCTGACCTGATGACTGGGCTGAACTGAAGAGAAGCAGCACCAACATGGATCTGGGAATCTGAAGGATCTGGAGAGATTCTGTATGGAGGGATGTCTCTGATCTCTCGTCAGGTGTTCTCCAAACTCATCAGGCATCATAGAAGAAGACTCAGAGCTGTTATCTTGGCAAAAGGAGGTTGCGAAAAGTATTTAATAAATTATGCACAATGTGTTTTGAAGAAAAGCTTTTATTTCATAATGTGATTTACCCCCACTTTCAATTCTTTGGAGAATTTTTTTAATGGATGATCAAAAGGATAAACAATGCAGATTTATTTTTACAGCCATCTTAGATCATATTTTCCACGGATGCCACTAATTTTCTCAGAATATCTTTTGTATTCCACAAAAGAAAGAAATTCATACAGGTTTGAAGTGACATGAGAATCAGTAAACAATGATATTTTATATTTGTATTATTTATATTTTTGAGTGAACTCACTTTACCAAACAGGGTGTTGCAGTGAACTTTTAAAATACATCTCCATTCTTGGCTTTTTTTTTATTTTATCTGTGAATATTTTAATGAGTGTATCCCCCATTGTCTCTGCTGCCTATGTCTACCTTATCAAATTCTCCTCAAGCACTCGGCTCCCCCAAAAGTTAAATTTTTCAGGTCAATTTGTTGTGCGTCTATGAAGAAAACGATGGCCGTGTAAAAGGTTTAGCTCATAACTGCACTGTGACAGATGATAAATACTTAATCCCTCACCCTCGTCCTAGTGCTTTTTTGTTGTTGTTGATAAAATGGTCACGTAAACTCTGTTTGTTCCTCATCTGTTCCACCCCACTCCTCTAAACTGTCTCTAAAATAAAACCATGTTACAATAAAATGATTAATTATCTCCTTTGTTTTCTGAAGATGACTTTGTTGCAAACTAATGTGTTTTACATGTCTGTCATATTATTATTTTTTAGAGCAGTTTCTTTTGTGATTTGTCCTGTTGTTGACCTGCACTTTTGATTGTAAAGACTTTGAGGATTTGGTTTCAATCAACACACTCATCTCAGTTCTTTATATCATTCTGTCTTCCCTTATTTCCCCTTCCCCTTCAAATCCTACATTTATCTCTGTTGAAATGGCTAAAACTTACACTACTATTCAAAGTTTTGGGGTAAATAAGAAATGTTTCTTGAGCACCAAATCATCATATTAGAATGATTTCTGAAGCAACATGTGACACTGAAGTAATGGCTGCTGAAAATTCAGCTTTGCCATCAGAGGAATAAATGACATGTTAAAATGTTCAATAGAAACTTGTTATTTTACATTTTAATAATATTTCACAGTATTACTGTTTTTACAGCTATCAAATAAATGCAGCCTTTGAAAGCATTAAAGAGAAGAGAAAAATATTTAAAATGATTGCCGACACAAAACTTTTGAATGGTAGTGTAAATTATATGTCTTTTTATTTGCACACAGCATACTTTCTGTTTTCCTATACGTAGCACTCTTAGATGTGTTGTGTTGTATTTCAGGTTAGGTTTGGTGTAAAGTCCATATCATTCTGTTTCCCAAAGGGTCTTTTATAGTGAGGGAAGCTCTCCAGCTCATTAGACCATGGCTGTTAGAGCAGCTTCTGAAAGCCCCGTCTGAATGCCAGCTTACTGCACCTGGGTGTCTGTGGGCCGTAATGGGCAGACAGCAGAGTGCAGGGGGAAGCTGCGTAATAGATATTTATGTCTGCATTACGTCTCCTTGAGTTCAGGTCATAACAGGCAAATCTAATATGTTAGCCAGGCCCAGGATCGACCCTCTACTGGCAAATGGACCTCTAAGTGTACTGTTTGGCCAAAGCCTTCCCTCTTCCCTTCTGTAATTATGGTGACAAGGCTGAGCACTGGAGTGGACAGCCTGACATTTCCTTGTTTACCTCAAAGAAGAGTTTTGTTGCAGGCAGAAACCTGTATTAAAATCAGTGGCGAGTGTGTTGTCTTATTTGCTAAGTGCCCGGAGTGTAATATGGTTTATATAACCATTGAGGGACTCTTAGCGGAAGAAGTTATTGCAGATAGATGAGATTTCTGAGGCAAACAAAGCTTAACTGTTATTGTCCAGATCAGATGCAGAATCATGCAGAAGCCTGTTAAGCGATCTTGAGCTACAGAAAGGCGCTATATAAATAAAACTACTACTTCTTCAGAAGATTTATTAAATAGCGGATATATGCTAAACTTTCGCCTGCCTTTTGTCTATTATTTTTAATCTGCTATCCTCTAACCTAACAAGAAAATATGCACTGTGGGTTTGATCAGTATTAGTAGGGCCCATGTTATTAATTTTCCTGTTCTGCTTGAGTGTTCAAGACTTGGGGTTGCATTCTGAGATGCCACGTAAACCACAACTAAACACAACAGTGTTTTTAGTTGAATGCTGTTAGATTTTCCTTGTTCTTGTAATCTGCTGTTGCTGTTGTGGTTAGATATACACTACAGTTCAAAGGTTTGGGGTCGGTAAGATTTATTAATTTTTGAAAGAAGTCTCTTTTCTGCATTTTATTAGTACAGCAGTAATAGTGGGGAATATTATTACAATTTAAAATGTTCTATTTTAGAAACCATTATATATTTAGAAACCAAACATTTGAACAGTAGTGTAAGGAGTGTGCATAATCAACCTATTTACATGGAAATATTGATTGATTGAGAAATTTTTAAATTGCTGTATCAGTAATATATGACTGAATGTTTATTTGTTGTTTTTTTTTGCGTGTGTTTTTTTAAGGTGCTGTAATTGGGGATGGTCAATCTGCAGTAGCCAGCAACATCGCTAACACAACTTATCGTCTGCAGTGGTGGGACTTCACCAAATTCGACTTGCCTGAGATCAGTAATGGTGAGTGTTTGAAGGGATTTATCATAGCCATTAATGATAAACAGATGCATTATCAGAGATTGTGGGGGAATCAATACATTGGTACATCGCCGTTCTTTCTTTAATGATTCCGAATCCTCTACAAAGTTTCTTTTTTTTAAAGCTGCAGTCCGCAATTTTTCCTCTTTGTCACCATCTCTGTTCGAAATCTGCAATTGCAGGTATTCGCGGAATTATCAACTTTACGTGAGTCGTACTTCGATACGGCACAGCGCGGATGAACACAATGTTTGAGGAGAGTGTGCAGCTGTCAGTCACCGTGCCGGTGTGGGTTGGGATTAGGCAATCAGGTACTGACTTCAACGAGGGGGTAATAATTTGGCAGGGGGGTCGAAATTAGGCACAACACCGGTGTGGATACTGGCATTCAGAATCACAGATTATTATTTTTGGAAGTATGACCAACATAAGAATTTTCACCGGACAATGTCATCTGAACTAGTAAGAAACATCCACTTTTGTTCTGGTTCTGACATTGCAGTAAATCGCGCTGATTAAATCTAACAATCGCTTATAAGTTATCATATCACGCAAAACCGTGCAAATGATACTTTGTTCTCAAATTGAGAACAAATCCAAATCCGCCATCAAATTGATAAGTTTAATTATATCAAGTGCTGTGAGAAAAGGCTATAAATCTCCACCTTCAACATCCTCACTCGCAACACAGCCTACTAGCCGAGACTCCTTCTTTATGTGTGCAGATGTGACGTAATGACGCAAAGACATGCTCGAATTTCCCGCGAAAATCCACCAGTACCACTGGAGTTAAAAACATTATTACAAGCTTACCGCTTTGAATCGAGCTAAGGCAAGCAGATAGTTTTGAACACTGGCTGGTTATGTATTTATATTTCTTTATTCCACACAAAAAACCTTTGAGCAAGTATCTACAGTTTTGCATTTAAACAGCAGAATAATCAACAAAAAATGTGATTCCCTGAAATATATTCTGATTGAATTGTGAAGTGTGCACCCCTGTTTACAGTGGTGTTTTCTGTGGGATTTTCCAGAAAGGCACGTGTTCTTTCTGAGATTTAATTTTTGCCATGTGTCCATCCACCTGAACAGAAAAACAAAATGCCTCAATACCCCACAGTGTTGAAGAAATCGTAGTGAGGGGAAAGGCTGCACTGTGATAGAGTAGCTGTAGAGAAAGGTAATAGTGAGCACAAGAAGTGCAGCTGATGGAGGGTAGATGCTAGTGTTGTCAAAAATATCGATATTTCGATAAATATCGATACTGAAATATCTGAACGGTACCAATACTAATTTCCCGAAGTATCGATACTAGCCGAGCAGTCACTTTCACTTCTCTCAAAAGGCGCGTTGACAAACACCACACGTGACGCACTCGTCTCATTCGCTCTGGTTAAATAGCAAAAGTGAAGTGAATGGAAAGATGGCGCCCCCGCGACCGGCTTTGGTTGATTCCGCGAGCGGGCATGTCGGAGAATAGCGCGGACACGTGTAAAAAACACACCGCGAGCGGGCATGTAGGAGAATAGCGCGGACACGAGCTACACACCGCGAGCGGGCATGTCGGAGAATAGCGCGGACACGAGCTACACACCGCGAGCGGGCATGTCGGAGAATAGCGCGGACACGAGCTACACACCGCGAGCGGGCATGTAGGAGAATAGCGCGGACACGAGCTACACACCGCGAGCGGGCATGTCGGAGAATAGCGCGGACACGAGCTACACACCGCGAGCGGGCATGTCGGAGAATAGCGCGGACACGAGCTACACACCGCGAGCGGGCATGTAGGAGAATAGCGCGGACACGAGCTACACACCGCGAGCGGGCATGTCGGAGAATAGCGCGGACACGAGCTACACACCGCGAGCGGGCATGTCGGAGAATAGCGCGGACACGAGCTACACACCGCGAGCGGGCATGTCGGAGAATAGCGCGTAGGCCTACACGCGAGCGGGCTGCGGGCACCCAACAGATTGTTTGACTACCAATAATCCCTCACATCACTCATTTTTTTAAATTATTGTATTGGTGAAAACAGACTTAAGGAACAGGCTCCAGGGGTAGGCTACTATTTAGCAGCAAATGCTCAGCATCAGGGGTGTTTGTTGTTTGGACAGACCTGCCCCCACTGCTAAAAAACCCCACTAACTCTTCTCATTTGAACTTTTCTGAAACATTAACCAAGATGGCCTAGTATTGTTGTTGATAAGAGTCTGTGTTGTCTCGTTTTAATTCTTAAAGTTAACATAATCTGACTGAGGAATCTTAGACAAGTAAATATTGTAACTGTGGTCAAATGTAAATTAACTGGTGCCTATTTAACTTTATTCAAAAAATATTATTTAATTCTGCAATTTTCCTTCATTAGCGATTATCATCAATTTGATTACACAGATATTAATTAAACTAAACAGCTAGACAATGGCATCTCTGAATTCAATAATGACATGCCTTTAACTGAAAATTGAATGTTTAATCTTATTATTATACATTACTGACTCTCTATCCTCCAATTTGATACTGTTAAGTGCTTTTTTGTTACAGTATATTTTAATCTTAAATAACAGTAGGTAATAAAAGTACATCATGTTAGCTCTGGTCCAATTAAAAAATATAAACAAATAGAACTCAGGACATTTTTGTTCATGTAAAATATACCTCATTGTCATGTTCTAGACTTGTTATATTTAGCTTTAAATAAAAAAAAATACCCCCTTAATATTGTGGCAGTTTTTTCTCCGTGGTATCGAAAATGGTATCGAATATCGATATTTTTCAAGGTATCGTATCGAAGTTAGAAATTCTAGTATCGTGACAACACTAGTAGATGCCATGGACAAGAGGAAATTGGTCACATATTAGAGTTATTTTCTTCCCCGCCTCTCTCTTTCTTTCTCTGTCACGACAAGCGTTACTGGAAGCTCTTGGCGATTACCCAGGGCTAATTACAAGATTGTAGAGTGATTCTTGTTATCTGGGCTTGATCTCACACCTGGCAGCACTTAGGCACTAACATCTGTTCAGCCTGTCAGAATCTTCAAGATCTCAGAAAACAAAGGTTAGCATCCCTCAGGGCATGTACACATAGCCAGATATACATAATAAAATAAGTGTTATGAATGCTGTGTTTGTTGCGGTATGAAGGTTAAAAAAAAATCAAAGTCATTCATCACTATGTAACTACCGCCCTATCTCCAACCTCCCCTTCCTGGCCAAGGTTTTGGAAAGAGTGGTGGCCTCACAACTACACACCTTTCTTAATCACCATGACCTGTATGAGCCTTTTCAATCTGGTTTCCGTTCATGTCACAGTACAGAGACTGCCCTTCTGCGCATCGTTAACGACCTTCTACTGTCTGCTGACTCTGGTTCACTTAACATTCTCATCCTCCTTGACCTTAGTGCTGCCTTCGATACCATCAACCACAATCACCCGTCTGTCTGCTATTGGTGTTTCTGGTACAGCCCTAAATTGGTTCCAGTCTTACCTCTCAAACAGAAAGCAGTTTGTGACGCTTGGTCCTCATCAGTCTTCCAAGTCCCCTGTCACCCGTGGTGTCCCCCAGGGTTCTGTACTTGGGCCCCTCCTCTTTCTCATATACATCCTCCCTATTGGCCCGATTATACGCAGCCACGGTCTTAAATTCCACTGTTATGCAGATGATATCCAACTCTATTTGACCACTCACTCTCCCTCTGATACACCACCTTGCTCCCTCACTGACTGCCTCTCTGACTTAAAATTATGGATGCAAAACAATTTTCTTAAACTCAATACAGATAAAACTGAAATTCTGCTGATTGGCCCTAAAAGCATCCTCTCTAAATCTCCCAGTCTCACTCTCAATATTGATGGTTCATCTGTCCATCCTACCCCTGTTGTCAAAAACCTTGGCATTTTGCTTGACTCCACCCTTAGCTTTGATCCTCATATCAAATCACTCACTAAGACTGCCTTCTTTCACCTCCGCAACATTGCTCGCCTCAAACCATTCATCTCTGTTAGTGATGCACACACCTTGGTTAACTGCTTCATTATGTCCCGTCTAGACTACTGCAACTCACTTTTCCTTGGTCTCCCTGTGAAATCACTTCAAAAGTTACAATATATTCAAAACTCGGCAGCCAGGCTCCTCACCCATACCAGGCGATCAGCACACATCACCCCCATTCTCTACCAACTCCACTGGCTACCAGTTCCGTCCCGGATCAAATACAAAGTACTATTACTCACCTTCAAAGCGCTCCATAACCTTGCTCCCCCTTACATCCGCGACCTCCTGATCCCGTACACTCCATCCCGCTCACTCAGATCTTCTGACCAAAATCTCTTGGCTATCCCCCGTTCCAGACTTTCCACCCTGGGTGGCAGATCCTTCAGTGCCTTGGCCCCCAAACTCTGGAACAGCCTCCCACAACCTCTTCGTGACTGTCCTTCACTTCCCCTCTTTAAAGCTCATCTCAAGACCTTTTTGTTTAATGATCATTTCTCCACACCAAACTCATAGCTTCATACAGATAACTTGTCTTTGTTGTATTGTTTTGGTTGTTGCTGTTGTGTATACTTGCCTTCACACTATGTAAAGCGACCTTGGGTTTGAGAAAGGCGCTATATAAAATATACGTATTATTATTATTATTATTATTATTATTATTCCTGATAAGATTCAGTTTGACCTTCACTTATCTCTTAACCCAGAGGTGCCAGACTTGCTGAGGATCTGTTGATGGATGAGGATGGAGAGTTTTATTTGTTAGTTCCCATTTTTTTAAATACTCAGAGATCTCCCAAAGACAGGGCAATAAAAACTGGTATGGTTTTAGCAGCATTGTTGTCATAGTCTATAGTACTGTGTGTTGTAAAATAAAACATAGAAATGAGGCAGAACAGCTCAATGCATATGCAGACGTACATCCCAGTGTCAGTTGGATCAGATGGACAATAAATATTTTGTTAGGTTTTTGTTAAAGGTATTCAA